TACATGGAGGTATGGAAGCCATTCGTGCTATTTGCCAAATATTTCTGCTGTCCACCTCCCAGACACACTATAGGATCATATTTTCTTGTCCCAGGGGTTGGCTGAGACATGTGTCTAGTCCTGATGAGGAGTTAGATTGGAAGCAAACACTTTTTTTGCAGGGGGGAAGACCCTCCAGAGTTCTCTTTCCTCTGTCACTGTGCCTGGCAACTTTTGAAAGAATGTCTGCTCCATCAGCCTGGTTCTTTGAATGACTAATGAGCAGAGCCCTCTGCCCGCCCTCAATGGCAGTGTGAGCAAGGAACAAAACTTTACCATCAGAAGTCACTGAGACTTGGAATTTGGCTGTTACTGCAGCATGACTTAGCCTGTTGTCGTGATACAGAGATTTTAACGCTGCCACATTTAACATGTTTAATCTCTGTAATGAGAAATCAGCTAAAGTTAAAAGACTGCTCTTAAGAAATTAATCACAATAAAAGGAAATAATTATATATTTCAGATGCTCTACAACCCTTGAATAAGGGTACTGTGATGTTCAATATGATTAACACTCCCTTCTCTCAGTCGGAGCTAGGCAATGCCAACATGTACCTCCTTCTCCTTTTCTTTCTTTTTATTTATTAACTTTTTATTTTAATTCCAATATGGTGAATATACAGTGTTGTGTTAGTCTTGGGTGTACAAAATACAGTGATTCAACAATTCCATAGATCACTTCGTAGTCATCATGGTAAATGTACTCTTTAATCCCCATCACCTATTTCTGCCATCCTCCCCCCACCTCCCGTCTAATAACCATAGTTTGTTCTCTGTAATTAAGAATCTGTTTCTTACTTTGTCTCTCGCTTTTCTTTCCCCTTTGCTCATTTGTTTTGTTCTTAAATGCCACATATGAGTGAAATCATATGGCATTTTCTTTCTATGACTTATTTTAATTACACTCTTTAGCTCCATCCACGTCATTGCAAATGGCAAGATTTCATTCTTTTTTATGGCTGAATTATATATATGCCACATCTTCTTCATCCATTCATCTACTGGTGGACACATGGGCTGCTTCCATAATTTGGCTATTGTAAATAATGCTGCAATAAATATAGCATATATCCTCTTGAATTAGTGTTTTTTATTTTTATTTTTTTGCATAAATACACAGTAGTGTCATTACAGGATTGTAGGGTAGCACTATTTTTAACTTTTTGAGGAGCATCCAAAGTGTTTTCTACAATGGCTCCACCAGTTTGCATTCTCACTAGTACCAGGTGGTAAGGGTTCCTTTTTCTCCACATCTTTGTCAACATTTGTTTCTTGTGTTGTTGATTTTAGACATTCTGGTAAGCGCGAGGTAATAGCTCATTGAGTTGATTTGTGTTTCCCTGATGATGAGTGGTGTTGAGCATCTTTTTATTTGTCTGTTGGCCATCTGGATGTCTCCTTTGGAGAAATATCTGTCCCTGCTTTCTGCCTATTTTTAAATTGGATTATCTGTTTTTGGGGTGTTTTTCACAAGTGTTTTTCACAAGTTCTTTATATAATTTGGATGCTAACCCTTTACTGGAGATGTCATTTGCAAATATCTTCTCCCATTCCATAGATTGCCTTTTAGTTTTGTTGATTCATTGTGCGGAAGCTTTTTATTTTGGTATAGTCCTAATAGTTTATTTATAATAGTTTATTTATAATAGTCCTAATAGTTTATTTTGCTTTTATCTCCTTGCCTCAGAAGTAATATCTAGAAAAATGTTCCTATAGTTGATGTCAGAGAAATTACTGGCTGTGCCCTATTCCAGGATTTTTATGGTTTCAGGCCTCACATTTAGATCTTTCCTCCATGTTGAATCTATTTCTGTGCAAGGTGTAGGAAAGTGGTCCTGTTTCATTTTTTTGCATGTTGCTGTCCAATTTTCACAACACTATCTGCTGAAGAGACTTTTTCCCATTGCATATTCTTTCCTCCTTCGTCAAAGATTAATTGACCATACAATTGTGCATTAATTTCTGGGTTTTCTGTTCTGTTCCATTGATCTATGTGTCTATTTTTGTTTCAGTACCCCACTGTTTTGATTACTACAGCTTTGTAATATAAAGTCTAGAATTTAGACTAAGTCTAGTGAAATCTGCAGTTTCTTTTTCAAGATTTCTGTGGCTATTCATGGTCTTTTGTGGTTCCATACAAATGTTAGAATTGTTTGTTCTAGTTCTCTGAAAAATGCTGTCGGTGTTTTGATAGGGATTGTATTAAATCTGTAGCTTGCTTTGGATAATACAGACAGTTTAACAATATTTGTTCTTCCACCCATACACATGGAATGTCTTTCCATTCCTTTGTGCCTTCCTCAGTTTCTTTCATTAATATTTTATAGTTTTTAGACTACTATCTTTCAACTCTATGGTTAAGTCTATTTCTAGTTCCTTTTATTAATTTTGGTGCAATTATAAATGGATTGTTTTATTAATTCCTTTTTCTGCTGCTTCATTATCAGTATATATAAATGTACCATATTTCTGTTCATTGGCTTTGTATCCTGTGACTTTACTGGATTCATTTATCAGTTCTGGCAGTTATTTTGGTAGTCTTTTGGGTTTCTATATAGAACAGCATGTCATCTGCAAATAATGAAAGTTTGACTTCTTCTTTACCAACTTGGATGCATTTTATTCCTTTTTCTTGTCTGGTGGCTGTGGCTCGGACTCCAGTACTATGTTGAATAAAAGTGATGAGACTGGACATCTTTGTCTTGTTCCTGACTGTAGGGGAAAAGCTGTTTTTCTCCACTGAGTATGATGTTCGCTGAGAGTTTTTCATACATAGCCTTCATTATGTTGAGGTATATTTCCTCTCATCCTACTTTGTTGAGGGATCTTATCATTAATGGGTATTGTACTTTGTCAAATGTTTTTCTACATCTATTGAAATTATCATATGGTTTTTATCCTTTCTCTTATTGATGTGAAATAACATGCTGATTGATTTGTTAACATCGAATCACCTTTGCATCCTGGGAATAAATCCGTCTTGATTGTGCTGAATGATTTTTTTTTAATGTATTGTTGCATTCAGTTTGCTAGTTTTTTGTTGAGGATTTTTGCATCTATATTCATCAGAGATATTGGCATATAGTTCTCCCTTTTTGTTGTCTTTATATGGTTTTGGTATGAGGGTAATACTGGCCTCATAGAATGAATTTGGAAGTTTTCCTTCCTCTTCTATCCTTTTGGCATAGTTTAAGAAGAAAAGATATCAACTCTTCTTTAAATGTTTGGTGGAATTCTCCTATGAAGCCATCTGGTACTGGACTTTTGTTTGTTGGGAGTTTTTTGATTACTGATTAAATTTCCTTGCTAGTAATTGGTCTGTTCAAATTTCCAGTTTTTCCAGCTTTAGTAGGATGTTTCTAGGAATTTATCAATTTCTTGCAGGTTTGTTGACATAAAATTTTTCATAATATTGTTTATATTTCTGTGGCGTTGGCTGTTATTTCTCTTCTTCCATTTGTGATTTTGTTTGAGTCCTTTTTCTCTTTCTCTTTTTGATTAATTTGACTAGAAGTTTATCCATTGTATTGTTATGGGGTTTTTTCTCCCCAAAGAATCAGCTCCTGATTTCATTGATCTGTTCTGTTGTTTTTTTACTTTCTATACCATTTCTTTCTGCTCTAATCATTATTTTCTTCCTTCTGCTGGTTTTGAGTTTTGTTTGTTCTTCTTTTGCTAGCTCCTTTAGGCATAAGGTTAGGTTGTTTGTTCATTTTCTACCCTTTTCATTGTTGGCTTTGCCAACTTCTGATGGTTACAGTCTTTCCTTAATTATTGCTGCCTTTATTTTAAAGTCATACAGTATGCTATTTTTAAAAATGAACAATTTAGAATCAAATGAAAAAGATCTGCTTTGTCTCCTCCTTACTAGCCTACCTCTTAAGGTTGAGTTTGGAGTACTCCTCCAGGCATTCTCTCTCTCTCTCTCTCTCTTTTTTAAGGCATTTTCTTTACAGTTCCAGGTACAAATGAAATCCCACTCTCCACATTCTTATATATCGTGCTCTTTAAAAAAAAATTATTTGTTTATTCATGAGAGACACACACAGAGAGAGAGAGAGAGTCAGAGACACAAGCAGAGGGAGAAGCAGGTTCCATGCAGGGAGCCCGATGCGGGAGTCGATCCTGGGTCTCCAGGATCACGCCCTGGGCTGAAGGCAGGCATTAAACTGCTGAGCCACCCAGGGATCCCCAATTGCTCTTTTACTTTATTTTTCAAATATCTACTCATGTTGGTGCATATTTACCTGTTTCTTTTTTATGGCAGCAGAGTTTTCTATTTCAAAGATTTACTATCCTTAATTTAACTGGTTGCTATCTTTAGCAGATATTTTTGGTGTTTCTAGTCTTTTGAGCAAGTGTGCAAATTAATCCCAGGGTGAAATTTCTAAAATTGGAATTGGAATTCTGACTTGCAGGGAATTTGCAGCTTAAATATCAATAAATATTGCCAATTCTCTTCCCAAAGTTTGAATCAATTGAATGGGATTGTACATCAATACAGTGGGTGAGAGTTCTTTTTCCACTCTCAAGAACACAGGGTACTATGAAACGTTTTTTAAATCTTCGCCATTACAATCACGAAAAAGAGATATTTTGTTATGGTTTAAAGTGCATTTTGTTAATTATAGGTTGAGTTAGTGCTTATTCTTTCTTTAAACATGTTCTTTTCTTTAAACCTTTAGTATAGTGAGGCCTAAGTTGATTTTTCCTCTTTAAGGTGAATTGTTTTTAATTATTTGAAACTCAGAGAAAGCCTTATTTTTAACCATCAAAAAAGTACCTCAATTGTTGTTATTATTCATTTACTGAACAAACAGGGCTCACAGGATTTCTAAGACCTCAATATATATGTTGTCACTGGGATGTTTTATAATAACTTCATCCAAGATAGATGGGCTGGGAATTGGCCAGCCCTTGCACCTCTCAGTTAATTGATGTGACATATTATTTCATTGCAGCAATTCAGCTTTGTGTCCTTGCCCACTGATGTTCTGGAAATTGAGGTGAAGGACAAGTTTGCTAAGAGTCGCCCCATCATCAAGCGCTTCTTGGGAAAGCTATCGATGCCCGTTCAAAGACTCCTGGAAAGACACGCCATAGGGTAAACCTGTGATTGAGACCTCAATATCACTAAGGCTTCAGCGAGCAGGTCAAGAGAAGCCTGTGAGCTGCAACAATATAGTCTCATGGAGACTCAAACTAAAATGGTGGTATTGAATCTCCTTGGCTTCTCTCATTAATTATGTTGCTTGAGCCACAACATTCAATTAAGCAATTAAGCAAATCCTTCCCATTCTTCTTGTTTGTATACTACTGGTTAGTTATGGAAGACAGTAGAAAATCCTAAGACAATATTGAAAGAAGCCCTTAGAAGCACTTTTTTCCATACAGGTAGAAATTAAAATGTGTGTTAGTAGAATATTATTTCTGCTTGTGTGTAGGATTTAATCATTTTGGATGTTTCTATAACAAGATTAAATGCTGGGTTACTAGAGTAGAGAGACTTAGAATATGCTAGTATTTGTAGAAAAAGCTAGATAATATGTATGAAATTTTAAAAGCATGAATTCTCAGGGACAACAGCAATTTTGTTCTTTGCAGGAATCAGCTGTGTATAAGAATGTTTCTGTTTGTATCTTTTACATTCAGGTCCTCTCATGATTCTCCTTAAAATGGACTTTCACCAGATGAAATAGTTATATATAGTATATATTTCCTTAGTTAACAGCAACTATATTTGATAATGCTAGGCTTAGCTCTCTGGCCACACATGTATGCAATGCTATGCTATGCTATACAGTGTAACCCTTAGAATGATATTGAAGGAATGAGGAGAACTTGCAGAATTTCTAAGTGTCTCCATTTAAAGCTTCTGTGATTTCAGGACTTTGAAATTGCTAATGATTATCATCAGGACATATAATCAGAACCTTATAGCATGTGTGCAGCTTTATGCATACTGACATGCCATTAACTTTCAAGACAAAGGGAGAGACATTTATGGAGCTACAGCCATATGTCACATACGGTGTTTGCACTTTCCATTTATGGTTGTGAGCATTAAACAAACAAACAAATGTACATAAAGAATGTAAAGCAGTTCCTGGCACATGGAGACTAAAGTGCTCTAAACCATTCTGTTGTTTTTTTTTTAATAGCGTCAACATGGCTTTTAAAATAAAGGCAACTCAGAAGGCTCCCTCAATTCCCTTGCCTATAATACCCCAGCCCTAAACTGGCTCCTTGCCTCCCCTGAGTCCTATAATTGGACCACCTCAGCTTCACGTGGGAGGTCACTGGCTGCCTTGAACTTTTTATTGACTAGTCTTGCCTTATGCCTCTAGCTGGTTGTAAGTAAGCCATTTAAAGGCAGGCCTATGCATTACATGCTTTGTGTCAACTGTGGCACTTTTCACATATCACAGGCTCAAAAAATATTTGTTGATAAGGTGAGTGAGAAGCAAAGGAAAGAAAAGCCTGGAACAAATGCAAAGCATAGCAAATTTAATTTTTATCTCATCGCCTGGTTATCTTTAAGCATCACCTGATTTCAACTAGGTTTTGGGTTCAGGATCTCTTTCCTATGGTCATGGTAGATTCGCTTCATAATATTGACCAAGGCCCTTTCCAAACAAACAAAATATTGTGGTTCATTTGTTTTTCCTAATATAATGCTTTGCTTAATGGACTTCCTAGGAACTTCAAACACTACACTATGGTGTACCAAAGAAATATGTTAACTCAGTGGATCACTGAGTGGATCACTGGTATTTTCTAGAAACAAAACACTACCAGCCAGTGATTTATCTTTTTACTATAGTATGACCATGAATAAATAGAATGAATACAGAATCATCTGCATAACAAATGGTTTTGGAATAAGTCTTGTTATTACTGGATAAAATAGATTTGTTAATTCTTGAATATCCAAAGTATTTACCTTCCCTATTTAGGCCAAGGTGGGGGGCAACATACTCTGCTAAAACTGCATTGTTGATGAAACTCTAAGAGCAAAGTTCCAAATCGAGTCCCCTGGATAATTCTCTTCTTAGTAATCAAGAAAGTGCCTTGAGGGGGCAGAGGGGCTCATACCAGACTGCAGGGTGGAGTTTCAGAGTCTGTATGTGGGACGGTGGAGGTGGTAGGATTGGAAACCGACTTCCAAGTCTTGCTTGCTTCAGTCCATCCTGCAGAAGGCCTTTTTCTGAAGCACTCCATGGCTCTCCACACCACTCCAGTCACCATGACATTAGGTATATACACTGAAAGACATGCATCTGTTGCTGGCAATGTCCGTTATGATGGGCACTGGAAAATGTCAGCCTGCACAGGAAAAGCAAGCCAAGATACTCATGTCTTTGTTGTTGTTATCATTGTCTTTTGCGGGTTTTCTTGGCTTAGAACAAAGTTGGCAGCAGACTTTCTGTAAAGGGCCGGATAGTAAATATTTTTAGACTTTGTGGACCATGTAGCCTCTGTTATAACTACTCGGCTCTGCCACTGTAACATGAAGGCAGCCCCAGACAATAAGTAAAATAATATGCATGCCTGCATTCCAATAAAACTTTTATTTGGGGATCTTAAATTTGAATTTCAGACAATTTTCCTGTGTCACAACCATTTTAAACCATTTTCTTTTTTCCAACCATTTTAAAATGTAATAGGCTCATGGCTGTACAGTAGGTGGTGGGCCAGGTTTGGGCCCTGGCTATAGTTTGCTGACTCCTGCTTTAGAATATTCAATAAGGATTTTCTTCAAGCAGATGTACTCTCCCACATTTACCTTAAGACTGTCTTCCATGTCCCTGAGTGGATCATCACCTCCTATTAGCAGGGTCTCCCTGGGCTTGCCTACCTCACCTACTGGCATAGAAAGCATGCTGTATAATCCTGAAGGAGAGCTTTTGACCTGATCTGTAACGCTGCTTATTTCCTTCTAGGGACAGGGTGGTCAGCTATACACTTGGCCGCAGGCTTCCAACAGATCATGTGAGTGGACAGCTGCAATTCCGATTTGAGATCACTTCCTCCATTCACCCAGGTATTTTTGGCATGAATTTCATGTCTTGTCCTCGCCTAGTGTTGGTGTGGTTCCTTTCTCTAAAATACAATAACCGTGGTTCTCTCCAGACATGTCCTAGGTTTTGTGGTTCTCTCTCCTCTCCATTTGATGCCCAGAAGCCAGTGATCTATTCTGGAAGCCAGGTTGCTGTCCCCTTGATTGAGAGGCTCCTCTTCATTCTGGTGACCCAAGGTAGAGGGTTAGACAGTGGAGGGGGACATGACAATGAGGCCAACATGAGTATTGAGCCATGTCTAATTTATCATTTTACTCCCAGCACTTGCATATGAGGAGTTCAATAGCCGCTTACTCACTGCCTACATGAATGAATGAATGAATGAATGAATGAATGAATGAATGAGAAACATGAATGAATGTGATACACATCATATTATTTAAGAACTATTTTTGTACAATGGATTTATCACAGGGAAAAATAAATGGAAGTTGGACAGAAAACTTCAGAATCATCCAATTTTCCATTTTTCAAGCCAAAACATATTCCAAAGACTTCCAAATAAGAATGATTAGATGCCTCATAATTCTACTTTTGCTGTTCTCCGGCAAGCCCCATACTAGGTGCAGATCATGCTGAGAACTAAGCTGGTCCTTCTGAGCCACTTGTATGAGTTGCTGTTAAAGCTAATGAGGCCGTGAGGACTCAAGAGTCTGTAGTTTTCTGTGCACGCATTAATGTCCAGCTGTACTTACCCATGCCCGATAGATAATGCAGATTATAAGAAAACACCCTGTTTTGTCCTTTCACATTGGGCCATTTCTTCATCCTGCGAATAAAATCGACTCTTCCTTCACTGTCGCAGTAAAGATGGCCCTAGGGCTCTCACCAGAGAGATGGTGAATCTTCGATGGGTGCATTGCACTAGTGCTTTGGGGTTTTTTGTTTTGTTTTGTTTTTCTGTTTTTTTTTTAAGATTTTATTTATTCATGAGAGAGAGAGACAGAGACACAGGCAGAGGGAGAGAAGCAAGCTCCATGCAGGGAGCCCGACATGGGACTCGATCCCAGAACTCCGGGATCACGCCTTGGGCTGAAGGCGGCGCTAAACCGCTGAGCCACCCGGGCTGCCCTGCACTAGTGCTTTTGAAATGGGAAGTTCACACCGGGCAGGGATCCCATAGGGCAAGGGACTGGGGGAAGGTAGAAGTCAACAGTGGTTGCTGTTCCTTGAATGGTTGCTTGACGTCAAGGCCTCATTATTTCCCCCTGTCTGAGCTAGGAAGGACTGAGGCCCCTTCCATCGACTGGCCGTTTTCTGCTCTGTAGCTGCTAGGACCCTGGCTTATGCTTTCTGCCACCGGCTGAACCCAGCCAGGGGGAAGGCTCTGAGCAAGTGTTAGCCTCGCCCGCCCGGCAGGCCCCTGGAACCTCACCCGCTTGCCTCTTGGCAAGCAAACACTGCTGAGCCCCCATGTGTGCCGGCAACTGGGGTCCTTCTAGGCCTTGGGTATTTGTTTTTTTTACATTTTATTTCTTTATTAATGAGAGAGAGAGAGAGAGAGAGAGGCAGGCAGAGGGAGAAGCAGGCTCCATGCAGGGAGCCCGACGCGGGGCTCCAGGGTCACGCCCTGGGCCGAAGGCGGCGCTAAACCGCTGAGCCGCCCAGGGGTCCCTTAGGCCTTGGGTATTTTTTATTTTTTTTATTTTTTTTTTTAGGCCTTGGGTATTTTAACCAACATTGTGAATCCCCTTGAAATATATCACGACTGCAAATTGTCATTAACATAAGAATTCATTGTTACAGAATTTGCCCCCGCGGAGCCTGGGCCTCTGGGAAAGCTCGGTGAAGGCCTGCATCCCGTGCCCTCGGGCAGCAATCCCTGGGGGGCTTCCGGGCCGAGGAGGGCACCTGTGCCCAAACCCCACAGGCCTCTCTCTCTTCTGTTAGAAATGACCTGTTATTCTCGCCCGCAGATGACGAGGAGGTTTCCCTGAGCGCCGAGCCCGAGGCCGCGGAGACCCAGGACAGCCCCGGGAGCAGCCTGCTGGCCAGCAGCGGCGGGGGGCCGCCGGCCGACGCCCCGCAGCCGTCGGGGAGCTCGCAGCCGGAGCCGCTGCTGCCGGCGAGCCGGGGCAGCGCGGGGGACGCTGCGGGCAGCCGGAGCGCGCAGCCGGCCGAGGGCGCGGCGGGTACCACCGAGGCAGGAGAGGACGGCGCTGCGGGAGCCGACGCGGCCGGGCCTCTTCTGGGCGCGGGGTGCGTGGACGCGGAGCCCGCGCCGAGCGCCGAGGAACTGGCCGAGCAGCTGGAGCTGGGCGGGGAGGCGACCTCCGCGGGGCTGCCGGGCGCCGGGGAGCCCACGGAGGAGGAGGCGGCGGGGGCGGAGGAGGCGGAGGCGGAGGAGGTGGCGGATAGCGGCGCGGGGGGCGAGCCGGCGGCGCAGGAGGACGACGCGGCGGCCTCGGAGCCGCGGGAGCTCGGGCCGCAGCCGCGGGCCTCGGGGAAGAGGAAGAGCCGGCCCTGCTCCTTGCCGGTGTCCGAGCTGGAGACGGTGCTGGCGGCGGCCTGCGGGGAGCCCGAGACCCCGCGGACGCACTACATCCGCATCCACGCGCTGCTGCACAGCCTGCCCTCGGCCCAGGGCGCCAGCGACGATGAGGCCACCCTGCGGGACACCTCGGACAAGGACGGCCCGAGCGAGGCGGACACGCTGGCGGCCGCGGCCCCCGCCCTCGGGGGGGACGGGGAGGAGCCCGGCGGCGCCGCGAGCCCGGGCCACGCGGGCCCGGCCGACGGGCTCGACGGCGACACGCTGCCGAGCACGGGCAGCGAGAGCGACTCGAGCCCCCGGCAGGGCGGGGACCACAGCTGCGAGGGCTGCGACGCGTCGTGCTGCAGCCCCTCGTGCTACAGCTCCTCGTGCTACAGCGCGTCCTGCTACAGCGGCTCCTGCCGCAGCGCCTCGTGCCACAGCGCGTCCTGCTACAGCGGCGGCAGGTTCGCCAGCCACACGCGCTTCTCATCGGTGGACAGCGCCAAGATCTCCGAGAGCACCGTCTTCTCGTCGCAAGACGAAGACGACGAGGAGAACAGCGCCTTCGAGTCGGTGCCCGACTCGGTGCAGAGCCCGGAGCTGGAGCCCGAGGCAGCCTCTGGGGCCGGGCCCTGGTCCGACGAGCTGGCGCCCCCCGCCGGGAGCGCAGCGATGACCGCGGAAGGCCTGGAGTCCCCCGCGGCGGGGCCGAGTGGTCGGAGAGAAGGTTAGACCTCAATCCCGATGGCAGTGAGTGTAGGACCGCCAGGGGGACACAGGTGTCACCGACGAGGTGTAAACGCGAGTGGCAGATTCAGCCGCCTCTGGGGTTGCCCGGGCCCGTGTGCGCCCGTCCCGTACATGTCTGTGTGCACGTGTATATGTGTGTGTAAGTGCTCGCCACCGCGGAGGGCAGGCCCCGCCGCCCCCTAGGTACACACCGAGAACGACACCTGGCGCGCTCGCGCGAGCGTGCACTTGGGTGTGCGTGTCTCGGTTTCACGCAGCCACTAGAACCGGCTAGTGCTCACGGTGCCCTTGTAGTCCTGACAGTGACCGGGGCACCCGGGGTAGTGTCGAGCGACAGGCGCAGAGAATACTCGCCGGCGCCGGTGGATCATGTATAAACAAACACCTGCCGACTTCCCACAACCTACCGAAGAGTAGCAATAAATGTGAATATACATTGAAGAATATTGATCCTACCTCTGCTTTAGAGTTTAACAGCCTGTGTGCATCCGGAAATGTACAGCCTACGTCTATGTGTCACTTCTGTCCTCTCAGTTCTGGCCATGGTTGCTTTTTTTTTAGACTGTTATTCCGTTTATGAGATCTAAAAACAAAGCAGCTCTTACATGGCTCCCCATTCCCACTCCTGCCTCTGGCAACCATCAATCCCTTGCCTGTTCTCTTGAAAACCACCAGAGGTTAGTGAAAGAAATTGAAGAAGACACAAATAAATGGAAAGATATTCCATGCTGATGGATCAGAAGGATCGATACTCTTAAAAATGTCCATACGACCCAAAGCAATCTTATTGCAAGATTCCATGCAACCCCTATCAAAATTCCAGTGGCATTTTTCACAAAAATAGAACAAACCATCTTATAATTTACATGGAACCATAAAAGATTCCAAATAGCCAAAGCATCCTTGAGAAAGAACAAGGCTGGAGGCCTTGCGCTCTCTGATTTCAAACTACAAAGCTGTAACTAATTCCGGGTTTGTTTTTTGTTTTCTTTGTTTTGTTTTGTTTTGGCTATTTTGGCTAGTGGAAGGGAAAAATAACATGAAGTTGTCAATCACTTTGTTTCAAGTGGGATTCTGATCCAAAAGCTGCCACCTTTAGTTTTAAAATATCTTCTGTACTTTACCCAAAGGTATTTCTTCTTAGTCATGCTTGTGGAATCATCTATAAAATTAACTTGCATTTCTTTATCCAGAACTGGGATCCATCTTCCCGTCCAGTGATAGTGACATGGGGAAACAATTCAAAGGTCACATAAAAATAGGAAATAATTCAGTTGCTTTAAAGAAGAAAAATCTAGATTCCACTATTTTTCTACTGTTTACATTAGTCTCCAAACAGAGGTGGTGGTATTGCCTCTAGATTATAAGCTCATCAAGGGCCAGGGCTGTATTTTCCCCATGTTTGACTGTCAGCACCTAAACAAATGCCTGGCACCTGCAGATTTTTATAGTAAAAGTGAGCACAAAAATTAATCCTAAGTATACAACAGTGCCCAAGTCTATGTTTCAGAGAAAGGAGTGAGGGACAGTGACACATGGGATAAGAACTGCCAAGAGTTTGATAAGGAGAAACACAGGGAGGAGGACCACAGCAACATACACTGTGGAAGGGTACCATTGAGTAGGGATGGACAACTCCTGTCTTTAATGAGGATGTTTTGATTCCCTCTGATCTGAGCCTGATGCTATGTGCTGAGCACAGGAAGGTGGATAAGTGGCAGAAAGTGTGAAAGGTGCTCAGTAATCGCAACAGAATTAAAAACGATTACAGTACAAGGAGATTTGGGGATACACACATAAAGAGCACAACTAGAAGCTGGCAGGGATGTTTCAGTCCAGAAGCTGACCAACTTTTTCTGTAAAGGGCCTGATAATAAATACTTTAGGTTTATAGGTCAAGAGGCAAAATCAAACAACTCTTCTCACCAAAGGCTACTTTTTTTTTAACAGTTTTACATATAAAAGTGTAATAACCATTCTTAACTCTGAGCCACATAAAATCAAGGCCAGATTCACAGTTTGTCAACCTGCTGTAGCCTATGGTATATATTTTGACCACCGTGTTGGGGTCTCCCACCTATGGTTCATTGAAAATTGGTTCATGCTACATAAAGGCATGTTTTACAAAAAAAAACAAAAACAAAACAAAACAAACAAAAAACACTGCCCGTGCCCTCAAGGGAGTAACAGCCCAAAAGGAAGGACAGGAAAGTGTTTCAGGGCCAGAGCGGAAGTCTTTGCAGGGCAGCTTCTAAAGAAATTTCTGAATATCTGAAATCTGCCGACTGGAAACTGAAAAACAGCTTAGGAAGCACCTACAGCTTCACTCTGGTGGTTGCCAGGGACAATCTGAAGATTCCTGAGATGGTCAATCTCATGAAAGCTGGGCATGTGTTGGCACAGCCTGTCTTCCCCTGCCCCCCCCCCGCCCCCAGCTGAGCTACGTGTCCCAGATGTGGCTCTGTCCCTCGCTGGCACCTGCTCCGAGAAAGCAGGGCTTCACCACAATGTGCCTGATGTCTGTGAGTGTCTTCCAGAAGAATCGCTATTACCCCTTTACTGTGACTTCTAAGACCACAGACTCTTTCGAAGGTAGCTAGGCTAGACTTACCATACACGTGCCCACAAACTGAGTCTGCAGCACTTTATGGAAGATGCGTCCTGTATCTACTTTTTGCTTCCCCCCCCCCCATGAAAACCTCCTTTTTTTTTTTTTAACCTCAACATAAAATAGTTTTTAAAAACTGTCTGCAGATCGAATGAAAAGAGCGATATAATGTTGTGGTTTGAGCTCTGGAGCCAGGTCCCCTAGATTTAATTCAGTTCCACCACTTCCTAGCTGTGACACCCAAGCCAACCTACCAGAATGCTCTGTGTTCCTCAGGTGTGAAATGGGTGTAAGGGTAGACTCTGTCTCAAGGGTAATGGGAAGGATTAAATGACGTGATACGCAGGAAGCACTTGGCTGTCCCCGATTAATGGTTCTTCCAGGCAGATAAGCAGTGAGGCTAACTTTTAAAGTGGAATATGTTTCCTTCTCAGGGATCCTAGCAGGTATGAACACTTGCTTTGTGTTTGAGGCAAGGGTGAGTGTGTGGAGCCGGGGCCTCCTGCAGAACAGACTCGCTTGCTTCTTCCTTGCGCTCCATCCATTCTGGTGGGCTGAGCTGCGCCAGTCACATCATTGCATTTGCTTGGGGTTCACAAGCAGGTGGGGTCAGCTCCATTAACCCTGGCAAACAGCAGATATATGTTTCCACTAGCTTGGAGGAGTAATTACCTGATTGGTTGAATTAATTACAAGAGGTAAGTTTGCTGTTCTTTTTAAGAAACCAAATTAAAAATGCAGCAGCTGGTGACATAACAACTATGCCATTGCTTTCTAGTTTTTGCCACTAAGCACTTACAAGGACAAACATGACTGTGAGATCCACTAAAGAGAGCCCCTGTCTGAAACAGGAGTCAGTCCACGAGGAGCTGTGCATTACCACGAGGGGCCCCTTCCTCAAGACTCCTCAGAGTCTCAGAAGACCCCCCCACCCCAGATTCTAGTAACATAACAAAGTTTGCCCAAGAAATCTTAGATACTTAACCTTGAAGAGGACCCATTATTCGAATGCATCTCTGTTTTTGTTTTACAGTTAGCTCTGGAATCAAACTGCTACATTAAATGTAACTTCCTTCCTAATTAATTTTTTTAATCAGTTTTATGGATCTAGACTGGGAAGAAATTACCATCCTTCCCGTGTATGGAACATTCTAGGAATTGTTTGAAATTTCAGATCCCATAAAGACCTTAACCACTGTTTTTTGAGTTTCTCTCCTCTTTGACCTAAGGGATAATGGAACACTTGCTATTTGCTTCAGCCATGGAGGGCAGAGGAAGGAGAAGGCCTGACCTTTGTCCTCTGGCTAATAGAGACTATTCCGAGAGAGCCAGAAGCATGTGAGTTAGAGGGCTACTGCTCTGAATGAGGGCCGTCTCATGGCTTAGGCCCTTCTAGGTCTCCAGAGGTCAAGAGCCAGTGCCTCTGATGATGTGCCCCAAACAGCTGGTGCTCTGGCCTCCCCTCCACACAGCCACTCTCATGCAGTATCATCAGGACCTGAGGACGTCATGGACGTCATGAAATAGGAAATAGGAACATCATTTTAGGACATCATTGTTCAGTTCATTATAAATCTGGCTGACAGTAATATTAACTATGTCTATAATAATCGGGGCATGCATTCTGTGGCTGTGTTTATTTCTAAAATTTCTCCATGTCTGTCTTTCTTCCTTCTATCCCATTTCTGTGTCTCAAGTTTTCCTGTCTCAGTCTTCCTGCCTCTTATCTATTTCCTTCGTCTCTTGTCCTCTTCTCTTTCCAGAGTACCCTGGCTTGTCTGATTTTTCCTCTGAATAGTCTGGAACAGCCACAGGATCCCGTAGCTAGTTGGCTCCCCACTCCAGTCCCTAAGCTTCCATACTATAGGAATTTACCTTCTTGGTCCACCAATTCCTCAACCCCATCTTGAAAAGGCACCATCTAAGAGTTTCATTCTAAAAACAAACAAAATCTGAAAAACAGCCTCTTGGCAGCCCCCTGATGAAACCTCCAGATAAGGACCTTTGGTTTTGCGTGGGCTCATGGAGCTTTTATGGGACTTTATAAATGCTGCACTTCCCTCAAACAGGCCTGTTTCTTTAGCTGGGCTAAAGTCAGGCTCTGCTCATTTTCTTTTGTGTCCCTGTCTGATGCCACCTTCCCATCAAGAAAAAGTCAGGTAGTTCCAGAATCAGACCCTGACCCCACATATTGGTCTGTGTGGTACAGATCATAGTCATGATGTGTTTATTTTCTTTGGGGTTTTGAAAAAGTTTCCCCTATTTCCTCTCTCATGAATGGCTGTGAATGTAGCAAACTCACACACACACACACACACACACACACACAAAATAGATTGCCCACTCTGGGGTTTTTTTCTCATAATAGTTTGTTTTACAGTCATGCTTTTGTGATGACCTTGCTGCAGCAATGAGTGAATCTGAATGTCTTGACTATCTTGTCCATAGGTGAATGTCCTATACTCCATAATTCCCAGCCAGTAAGCCAGCTTCCTTCCTTGAGGCCTGAACATCATCACTACCCAACAATCGATGAGCCTCTTCCACCAAGTAAGCTTTAGTTTTTAAATCTGTGTCTTAATTCTTCCTATCAAGTCTAAACAGGTCAGTATGAACTTGTATGTACACATCCAAACTCTTCCCCAACTCCATGCCTTACACTGTTATAAAAACAAACAAACACACAAACAACAGCAAAATCCATGGCACCCTCCATAAACATGGGGTGTTTTTGACTAATGATTTCAGTATGTGATCTCAAAGAGATAATCCAGAACCTTCAGTGCCCCTCAACTTCGGAAACAGTATTTCTTTACAAGACTTGACCAGTCCTTGCAAACTGTACCTGACCTTTAAGTCCTAAATTTTACTATTTTATATTTAAAAATTCACAGGCCAAGATAGAATAATCCCATTTGTTCTCCATTGGACCTGTTATATCACAGGGACCTCCGTATAATAAAACATTCAACCCATCAGGACACAAGAACTGCTGTAAGTTCCATCAATAAGTGACGGTCTATTTCTTCTGTATTTCTTAGGAGCTTCCAGAAAACATATCATCTTTAGGGATGGTATTCCATGTCATTTTCTCCTGGTAACTATGTAACTCATTATTATTTAACTAGTCATTTGAACTTGGGAAAATCATTTAAAATCTCAGAAACTCAGTTTTCTTATTTGTGAAGTAAAGCCTTAATTTTCTCAGTGGTTAAATTCTAGATGTGGGCTAGTTAGTCCCTAGATATCATTCTAGCTTTTATAACCTTATAATTCTACATTATAATACATTTCTACAAAGGAACTGGTGCCCTGGACATTATACATTCACTTAGCCTCATATATGTTCATGAATAATTCGGAAACATCTCTGTTTTGGCTTAGGCTTATTTTTCAAGCAAAGATAACCTTTAAATTTGACAAATTTTACAACTGCAAAATCTTGCCAGGGTGCAAGGAATTGATGTTTCTTTACATTCCTCTGCCTATGCTTACATTAGTAGGTTTCAGTTTTCAAAAGAAAAATGCTTATTCCCTAATTCATCTATTCTTGGTAATGTGAAATATTTTGCATTTACACCATTCTTGTCCTGTTCAGTTGTAATTTACAGGTGAGAAAACAATAAATACCTTTTAATACATAAACATTTAAAAGAATTTGTTTTGGGGGATCAAAGCAAATATTACGCTATTTAACTTTTGATACCTGATTTCTTTCTTTATTTATACATAGATTTATGGATAGTCCGCAAATGACTAGTAAAATTTGTGTCACTATACTTTCTACTTAGCACTTATGTAAACTATATCTATAGTCTGTTGTCTGCAGGGAAGGAACATTATCCCACAATAGATAACCTATCAATGCTTGTGGGCATGAATTGACTTCCAATCCATGCAAGAGTAATAACTAGTTATACATACAGACCTTGTAAATAATTGAAAATAAGTATGTTTTAAAGACTTACTTTACATGAGCTGTTTTCAATAGTGAAAACAAATTTCTCCAGATGGGTTTCAATTCTCTGTTCATTCAGTGCTGAAAAATAGGACAAAAGTTGGTAGGGAAGCCTAACAACAGAATTTTCTTAGATAGTCTCATATAGTACATGGATGACTTCATTCCTGATAGTCATTCATTCAACAAATACTCATTAAATGCTTGTGCTGTGCTCTCTTCGGCAGCACATATACTAAAATTGGAACAATACAGAGATTAGCATGGCCCCTGCACAAGGATGACACACAAATTCGTGAAGCATTCCATATTTTAAAAAAAAATAAAATAAAATAAAATAAATGCTTGTGCTGTGTGAAGCACTGTTTTAAGTAAATGAAACAAAGATCCCTGCCCTCGTGGAGGGTGAGTCTAGCCTGGCAGGGACCCATCCATAATAAAAAAAAGTACACAAGGCCATAGTGTTGCATGTTACAAGGTAAGAAGTGCTATGGGAAAGCACAAGCAGAGCATAGCAAGGGGGTTTCAGAGTATGAGGTGGTGGCTGGTTCACCATTTTAAATAGGGTGGTCAAGTAGGCTTCATTGAGAGGCAACATTTGGAGCTAGGAGGTACGAGGGTGATCCAGGGGAAGGAAGAGCTTTCTGAGAAAAGAGAACAGCCTGCCTGGTCAGTTGGAGGAACAGCAGGGAGACCAGTGTGTCTAGACAGATTTAGGAAAGGAGAAAGCAGTGGCTGTTAAGGTCAGGGAGATATCAGGGAGCCAGATCACAGAGGGCCTTGTAGACCATTTAAGAGCTTTGGTTTTTACTCTGGATGCAAGGGGAGCATTTTAGGTTTAGAGCAGAGAAAGGTCTTACAACTTAGACTTTGAAAGGTCTTCTGTGGTTGCTCTGTTGGCATTAAATTTTGAGGAGGAAGGACAGAAGCATGAGGCCCAACATAAGGTTATTGCCATGGCCCAGGTGAGAGGCAGTGGTGGCTAGGACCAGGGTGGGAGCAGTGGAGGTGGTCAGGAGTGGTCACATTCTAGACATATATTTTGTAGGTAGATTTGCTGATGGATTAGTTGTGGTATGTGAGACAAAGATAGGAATCAAGAATGAGCTCAAGAATTTTAGTCTAGAAGGATGGAATTGCCTTCAGTGGGGATGGGAAGGGAAGGGTGCAGATAGAGCAGGTTTTGGTGGAAAAGATCTGAAGCATGATTTTGACCACATTATATTGGAGATGTCGTCTAGGTAATGATGTCATAAAGGCAATTGGATGTGTGGCTGAAGTTCAAGAGAAAGGTCTAGACTACAAACACAGTATTGCATTTGTTAAAGTAAAAAGAAAAAAAAGAATAATTTTACAGGTTTTGTTAGTATAATAACTAAAGATAATACAGTATTAGGCTCTACATTGTCCTAGACTTCATGGAAAAGATATAATTTTGTATTTGCTAGGTCTTACGGTCACAAATGAATTACCTTAACTTGCCCCAGCATCATAAAGGTAATCGCTGGCAGGAATCTGTCTAGGCAACCCAGTGCCATGTCCATGAGGACATGCTGAGGCCTAAAGCTCTATATGAAAATTCTTTCTTTACACAATATGTGAAAGTAAAGTCTTTACAAAGCAACCCAGAAAACATGCTTATAATTTTTAAGTACACCCAGTTATCACTTTCTGATTATAAGAATTTAGCATTATGCATTTAATAATTAGCACTATTAGAAATTTAATATATTGATAGAAGGGCCTGTCTGGCTGGCTTGCCATCCTTTTCCATGAGAGATTTGGAAATATGGAAACTTGTAGAGAGAAATTATTAACCATGCACCATTTAGTAGTGTTCTCCTTGGAGAATTTATGAGACTGGAGCTGTGTCTTTGAAGCAATCCTTCCTTTACTGTGGGAACCAGTGGGCAGGGGCATTAGTTTCTCAGCAATGTGCCATGGGACCTGGCATAGTTTTTTGTTCATAGGGAGTGCTGGGAAGAGATTATAATACTGAAACAGATACCATAATACTCTTCAAAGCTTAATGTTCATTCTTTGTTGGAGAACAGTCAGGTTGAGTTCAAGAAAAAACTGTCCAGTTGCTCCTACTTTGAGAATCACCAAAATTTCAAAATTTGGGGATCAAGATTAATTACCTAGTAGTCACACATATACACAGGTTTCATCAATGAGCTATTTAACATTCACAACCAACAGTTGAGCTGGATTATCCAGTATTCAATTTTAATTAACACTTCCTAGAATATACAATCTGACTACATTTCCCCTTCAATTTGTCTTAGATGAGGTAAATTAGGTGTTTTTTGACATTTTGGTTTCCATTGGGCATTGTTTGGCGACTCCTCAGGTAAATGTCAGACATAAGCCATAATCTTCACAGGTGTACCGCGCACACATAAAACCATAACTATACCAAATCTATTGATTTCTTTATTTTAAAAAATTGAGAGTTGCTATGTCATTACCTGAATGATAATTCTTCAATAGAATTGTTAATATCTCACCTACTCCCAAAAGCTATGGACCTTCTTACTTAAAAGGCTGAATAGTTTTCCTCCATTTGCAGTCATTTTTGCTTTTTCTTAGTCTAACGCATTTTTCAGCATAACTTTATCATGAAGCTGTTATTTCCACCACATTTTCACGTGTGGACTCTAAAAGCTTTGCCCATCGCTCTACAGCAGACATTGCTCTTCTGTGTGAAGCTCAGATATGTGTGTATTACTTCCAGCTCTCCCAGTTTTGAGGACTTTTCCACCGCGCCCCTCCATGTATTACGTACTCTACCATCCATGCTTCCACGTTTAGTTTGTTGGTTTTGAAATCTGAGAAGCAAAGGAATTTATCTTTATCTTGGGCTCCCTCTACTGTCTGCGATGGTTATTTATCAACAAAGAGGTACTTCAGCACTCAAAGTGTTGGTAATAGCTGTTATTGGTTTGGTTTGGTTTGGTTTTGCCAAGAGATATTTGGCAGCCACAGGTGGGCTGAAAAATACACTGTGAATTTACAACTTACCAGAAGGATGATTGGAAGGGATCACATCCTTCCAATCTTCCTCTCAAGAGGAAGGGCAATCAATTAAAGTTGCTAAGTATTAGATAAAGGTCATCCAAAGTTTCAGGTACAGTATCCTAGAACTGGAGTGAAAAGTGGTTTTAACATTCCCTCACTGACTAGTCAGTGTGTCTCAGATTTAGCAAAGAAAGGATTCTCCTGCATCAGACTGTCCGCCCCCACTGGAGGATGTTTCCGGTCTTCCAGCTGTAATTTGGGTGGCCCACCAGAGTGACAGGGTGGAAATGGTCAAAGGAAGAAATAAAGTAAACATCAGGCTTCTTCTTTAGACAATAGTAGAATTTGAACATAGGTCATAGTTGAGGAACCCCAGATACTACTTAGGAGAAGCTGAGTCCAAGAGGCTGGTTTGTGGAGACCAGGTCAGTTCTGGTCCCTCCAACGTCACGGCAGGTGCTGAGGGCGGCGTCTGGCCTTCAGCAAGTAAGCAACCGTGAGTTCTACCTGCGGAAGACCTGGCAGTGTGTCTGTTTCATAGGCCTCAGTAGTTTGTCCTTGACTTTTCTTTTTGCCTTTCTGCCACACACTAGACTGGGAAGCTCGCATTGACAGCCACGGGCGGGTGTTTTATGTGGACCACGTGAACCGCACGACCACCTGGCAGCGTCCGACAGCAGCAGCCACCCCTGATGGGATGCGGAGATCAGGGTCCATCCAGCAGATGGAGCAACTCAACAGGCGGTTGGTGATCAGCATGCGGTTAACCCCTGGGAACCCCTGGGAACCCCTGGGAGATGAGAATGGCAGCCAGAGGACCCACCCCCCTTACCCTTTCCTGCTCAGATTATATGAGGAGACCAGAAAGTAGTTCTGTATCTTAAGAAACCCATCTCCAGTAGGTCCCTGGAAAGCTAGATTTAGAATTTGGGGGCAGGAGACCAACCAATTTCAAGATGGGGAATCCTCTGAACTTCCTGATGGCACAAGGTCGAAACCAGGTGTTCTTGGCCAAGGGCCCGTAGACCAACCCCTGCCCCAGGTATTCACTGAGGATGCCCTTGTTTCATGAGTCCTCCAGAAGTTGCATGCAAAATTATATTTTTCTGTCAGACTGTTCCTTATGTGTCATGAGATTCTCAATAGGGCCCAGAACTCAAGTGGTTTAAAACATTCCAAGGCTGGGTTCCGTAGAATGCGGAGAGCTTCCTGCAGAAAAAGAAACTGCATAAACCACTCTCTTCACGTCTACCCTGGTCTCCTGGTTGCTATACACTCAGTAATTCCTAAAAGGCTGCCGTCCTAGAAAAAGAAATGTCTAAAAACACTTTTTGAGAGTTGGGTTGTCTTCAAACTAGAGCCTTGCTAGTGAAATTGTAGAGGTGCCATTTTGCTTTTCCTCCACAACTGAGACCCTCAGTGGTATTTCTGTCATGCTGCAAGCCAGCGTGAGCATCGCAGGCAAACTCCTGCTTCTTCCTTAAGGCTGGATGGCAGCTCCGGGATCCTCTCAGTAGCCGGGAACACAAACTGCAGGCTTCGACTTCGGCGGAACCCGCGTGCCACCTCATTAGGATGCTATAAAGTCAGAAGGAACGATGCAGAATAAGGAACTGGAAGTTAACTGTATCAGCCAGAAAAATTAAAGGGACAATTTAGTCCTGTGAAAAACCCATGGGGGCGAAAACCGGAGCTTCGGGTTCCTGTTGTACGCCAAGGAGCACGCCCAGTGCAGATCCCCGGGATGCTCTTGGGGCTTGAGCATTCGGAAGCCCTTCGCTTTGCATTTCTTCTCCAGCACCAGCTGAGCATGTCGGGTCCCTAATGAGAAGCACGGAGTGGGGGGGGGGGGTTCCTTGGCAGTGCGTTTCTCTACGGTCATCCCCAGGTGTATTAGCTTTATTAGCTACGAGTGCGCCACAGACCCGCGGGAGAGCCCCTTCTCGGTGATCGCATCAGAACCCCCGTAACTACACGGGGGGACCCGGCAAGCTCATTTCACATGGAGACCGGGTGCAGGTTCCAGAGGCAGAGGGAGCCTGGAGATCTGTCCTGGCAGAACCGGAGCAGAGGGGCTGTTAACTTGGTTAGCAAGGCTAAGAAAGAGGGGGAGCATCAGCAGGCCACACCCGGGAGGGGTGCACCCCTTGCATCCCGGGCACTGAGAAAGCAGTGCACTGAAGCAGAAGCGACCCCCCTGACCTAGGACGGAAGAGGCCACGGACGTTCATCGTGTCCAGGTTGTATAATATGAACACCCGGCCCCATCCGTCCTGAAGCAGGCCCCTGGAGAAGCTTTTGCAGGCTTCCCTGTGTAAGTTCCTGTGCCCTCCCGAGGACCTGGACACCCCCAGAGAGGCAGCCAGGCTCTGCGGGACAGGAAGGCTTTTGCAGGCTTTTGCTGCATCTGTCTGGACAGAAAGAAAGAACAGGAATTTGGGGACTTGAGAAAGTATTTATTTCTTGTGAGAAAACCCCACTTAGGGAAGGTCAGGTAACCCTGAGATTCGCAGCCAGGCTCTTCAGCACTGATCGTAACCTATTGCTTTGAAGCATGTAAAGGTTTCCAGTGGTCTGACATGATGAGCAGCCACAGAAAGTTGCCGCCCGCTTCTCTCCATCCCCACGGGGCCCATTTTTGATGACCCGTGGTTGGTCCTCAGGACGAAGTTACAACAATCCCTGTCTCGCAGCAAAGCAGAAATATTTCCCAGTGTCGCAAGGAAAACCTTCTTTCTCCACGTCTAAGGTCTTTGGCCAACTTGACAATTAGCATGAGAAACATGGATGGGAGAAGAGCAAACTTGATGTTGTACGTGTGGAAGCTCAGAGAAACAGGCGCCCCAGAGAAATGACCAAAGCAGGCAGCTTTTGTTCCTTTGAGGCAAAGAAACATTTTTTTGTGTGTGAAGGCTTGACAACAAAGTTTGGCCCAGGGGTAGGTAGTAAGTTAGTGAAGAGGAGCAGGGTTTGGTTACACAGCCTTCTTCACCCCGACTCCCTGTCTGTCCCTGGTGGCTAATGCCACCCTCCAGGTGCGGGCAGGTACCTTCCCATGGGGAAATCAGTCCTTGCCTTCAGGAGGACGGCGCAGGGTCGGAGCATCCTTCTGCGTTGGTTGTTTCTTAAGTAACTTTAATTCAAAATAATAACCATGCCCCAAAAAGGCATGTTTTGGCGTGGCCTGCCCTGGGCCCCATCAGAGGAGATTCCCTGGACCCCCGACAGTGTGGTTCTGAAGGCCATTTAAATGCGTGTGTGCAAGGCAGTGCACACTGAGAAATGCAGACTGTGCAAAGAGCCTGTGGTGAGCGCGCTGGACCTGGCCACTCCCCAGACGCAGCTCAGCCTCTCCGGCCTTTAGGGCCTCACCACGCACTCCAGCTGCATAGACATGCCTTCCACACGGGTCATGGTTCCATCCTGCGAGGGCCCAAACGTTGGGTGGTCCCTGCGATCGTCCCGGGACCCTCTGTGCGGAGCCAGCGGTGGCATCTTCCGCGGCCCTGTGCTCAGTCATGCCTGCCCCTCTTCCTTGTCCTTCTGTGTGACCCCCTGCAGGGCCTGGGTCGGTGAAGGCCTCACAGGCCCCGGTGTCCAACAGTCTCTCTCGTTAGTCCTCACGCTTTCAGAACATCCCAAATTACCTCAATTTACCCTCACAGATATTTATTGATCACGCAGACAATATAAATGCATCTTCTCACTTTCAATAATCAACTAGAGTTTTTTTTTTTTTTAGTTATTTGGATAAAGTTTTTTTTTATATTATTGGGGCATAGAGGTTTTAAATAGGAGAAAAGGTGAAGTATATATAATTCTACTACCCCAGGGTTTACCTTTAAAAAAAAAAAATCCCAACTGTCTTTAATTTCCATGCGTACGCGTAGGCCTTGGGTAGCCGTGATAATATATACTTAGTTTTATATTCTCTTCTCACCACACTGAGCGTTTGCATATTGCTACGGAGCCTCAGAGTATCATTTAAAAGGCTGTGTGGCATTCCAATGAATGGATGAACTATAGTTAACTTAATTTGCCATATTGTTGGATGTTTTCCGTATCGCTTTTCATCGCTATTTTGGAAAAGGCTAAAGGCCCTATTAAATATTAGTATTGCCTCATAGTAGAGCGGTTCCTTGGGGTTATATTCTCAAAAGAGCAGGCCACAGGAGATCGCTGTGGTTTTGGTATTTGATATCCATGCCTAATGTTTTCTAAAGCATCTCTGCGGGCTCGCTCGCCAGCAACAACAGCTTCCCGTGCATCTCATCTTTCCGTCTTGGTTTTGTTGACTTAAGAGGTGCTCCTGGTATGTTTGGTTCTTACGCTTCACTTCTTGCAGGGGAGGGTCAACTTTTTTTCCATAAGCTTTTCTTCTACCGACTGTAGCTCCTCCTGTGAGAATTGTAGGGTCTGGGGCTTTGTTTGGTTTTGCTCTGTTTTTGAAGGGTTTTTTTTCTTGTTTGTTTTTGTGTGTTCCTGTGTGTGTTCATTTATAAATCAGATATTCCAGCTGGCCTTCTTACCAATTTCCATAAACTCTTAATATAAAATCTGGCATTTTTTCTGCAAAAGAAAAAGGGGGGGGGCGGAGTGGACACAGAAGGATAATCCTTCATGAGATATAAGAGAACCTGCTTTCTGGCTTCCTCTCTCGTCTTTAAAACAGAGCGGGCGTCCGAGGCTGTCATCCTGCCCTCACTGAGTGATCCCTCCACAAACTGCCGTGCATCCTGCTCCCCCAAAGCTGTCTCTGAACTTCAGCAGAGATCAGGGGCGGGGTGTGCTACCTGGGATTTGAGGCTGTTGACTCAGAAATGGCACAAGACAACCGAAGTCCAACTGAGGACACGGCAGGTTGTGAAATTACTGGCATTTGCATCATCGAATAAGATCACATTGATTCATTAACATTCTCCTCTATGGTCGCTGCACTTTGGGAAGGAAAAGTGAGGCTACAACCTTCTGTTTGTCTGGCCCTGTTCTAGGGATCTATTGCTGAGTAACAAATCACCCAAACTTGGTGGCATAAAACAATGATTTCTTGCTATCGTTATTACTATTATTATACATCACCGTTTTTATTTCTCATGGTTCCCATGGCTGACTGGGTTCAGCGAAGCCATTCTCTCTCAGGTATTGTCTGTGGTTGCCGTCAGAGGGTGGCTGGGGCTGGCGACCCACGTATCTGGAGGTTGATACTGGCTGTTGGCTGGGGCCTCAGCTGTGACCGTCACCCCAACCCTGTGGATCTCTCATGTGACCTAGGCTCCCTCGCAGCTTGGCCACTGTGCTCCATCCCAAACTGTCACTTACATTATCTTCAGTCAGTCAAGGTAGCCGCAAGATCGTCCCAGGTTCAAGGGGAGGGTTTATTGATCCTACCTCTTAACAGATGAGTAATTCGGTTCTGGAAGAGCATGTGGGACTAAAAATACTGTTGAGCCATTTTTGGCAAATGCAACCTGCCATGGGTCATGTAGGGGATCCTCCCGACAGCAGCTCCCTGGGTCTTCGGCAGTCCCATTCCTCCCCTGGTCAAGGTTACATGCATCAGCAGCTTCTCACTAGCCCACTCTGTCCCTCCCACTGTGGTGGCACTTCCTGAGTTCCATCAGAGAGAATGTCACACGCAACCTTCCGTCCCCTTCCACACGACCTGCTGGCCACAGGCATGTTGACGTGGAAAATAAACAAGGGCATTTCTCTATGCAATCCTTTGCCCATTCCCGCCCCCCTCCATGTTGTCGTATTAGAGGCCTTCTCAGGGATGTCTCGCAGTGTCTGCTGCAGGCAGGGGTGTCTCCTGATGTGTCAGGAGTGAGTGGTGGAGCCTCTCTAGATAAAACACAACTTAAAGAAAGCAACCAGTGATTCTTAAACCTAGATGCAGGTAATGCTACCTAAAGGACTTCTTAGAAATGCAGATTTCAATTTTGTTTCCATTTCTGTGATTCTAACCACCACCCAGCTGATTCTCTTGCAAGTGGTCTGGAGACCGCCCTTGAAAAAAATTTTTTAAAAAAGGAATTCCTTTTGAAGGTCAAGGCAAGAGGTCTCTGGTCTTCAGAAGGCCTGCCACAGCAGACCTTGTCTCTAACGGTACGTCCCCCTGCCCCACGTTGGACTGTGTTTGGAGACCTGGTTATTCACTGCTCCCTGGACTCTCGCTCTCCTCCTCTCTTCACACCTCCTCCTCCACCCCCACATCTCTGTCCTGGGCACAGGACTCGTGTGGCACATTCCCTTGCCCGTTGGCTCTTGCATGCAATCAGCGACCTCCAGGTCAACACGTCCAGACCCACACCACAATCTTTCCTCCCCTCCTGCCTGTTCTCCTGCAGGTTCTTTTCCAGTGTTGGCTCCCTCACCTACCTGCCTGAGGCCCACACGTCCTGGTACCACGGGCCAGCTTCTCGGGGTTCCCCAAGGGTGAACTCCTCTGTGCACCTGATTCTATATTCCTTCCCTGCAAGCTCCCCACAGGTTCATACTGGCTTCCAAACGTAGGCACCCCGGTGCTTCCTCGTCTGTGTCTCACACATCAGGACTGTCACAGTCGTGGCTTACCTGCCATTCCCCTGTGCGCTCGGAAGACGATATCACATTCTCATCCTGACTTGGGTCTAAAAGTCCAGCACAGGGCCTGGGCATATTGGAAGAGGTGGCAAATATTCAGTAAGTACCTGGGAAGGTGATGGACTGGCCAGCTGACTGGACGCATCCTCGGCTTGGGAAGAAAAATAAGATGAGCCTTCAGATCAGCAGGAAACATTCATTTGTGGGCCCGCATGTCACAGTGTTTCCACAGTTCCTGTCAGTGGTATCAGTTAAAGATAAGTGAGTGGAACTATTATTCTGATTTGGCGACTCATTACCATAATGTGAAAATAATTTGATCATCTTAGTTGTGACATTTTAAGTTCTCTCCCAAACCTTCGTTCTAGGCTTGGTCTGGTTTAGTTTAACGCAGGCCAGAGGCTGTGTGTGTTTTGTGACCAGTTATCCATGTTCATGTGTAAGAAGTCACGACACTTGAAACGTGTCACAGTTTACAAAACATAAAGAAATCCGGTCATCGGGGGTCCTCGTGCTGCCGGTTGTTCTGGTGTCTCACGGGAACTTTCGGCATTCCTTTCCTGACATTCAAGACAGTTCTTCACAGATTTCTCCAGTTCATTGATTCAGAGCATCAGCCCCCAACAAGCCAAGAAGCAAAAGTTAACTCCCGTCTCTCCATTTTCTGATGCAAAGGTATCAAAATATCCAGCGAACTATTGCCACAGAGAGGCCCGAAGAAGATTCTGGCAACCAAAGTTGTGAGCAGGTGCCAGGAGGAGGCAGTGGAGGAGGTGGGAGCGACTCAGAGGCCGAATCTTCTCAGTCAAGCTTAGGTAAGGGGGGGCGGGGGGCTGAGGCTGTGACCCCTGCCCTGCCCCGGGGTACGGATGGCCTGGGGGGGCTCAGGGTGGAAGGGGAAGAGGCTTGGTGCCCCCAGTGGGAAGCACACTGGAGTTTCCCACCAGGAATGTAAAATTCGCAGTAAGAAACCTCATACTCGTGCATCAAGGCCATTTTTCCAGGGGCCTCATCATTTCTCGTCAAGTGAATGTATTTGTTGGTGGCTTTAAGAATTTTCCACTTATAAATAAAACAGTGCAATGAGGGCAGCCCGGGTGGTTCAGGGGTTTAGCGCCACCTTCGGCCCAGGGTGTGATCCTGGGGTCCCGGGATCGAGTCCCGCATCGGGCTCCCTGCATGGGGCCTGCTTCTCCCTCTGCCTGGGTCTCTGCCTCTCTCTCTGTATGTCTCAAATAAATAAATAAAATCTTAAAAAAAAAAAGGCAATGCAATGAAAATTCACAGTCTACTTCAAAGAGGCTCCATGCGAAGACTAGGAATAATTATTTGTGTGCATTTAGAATAAAATACAAGTGCCCCCGAGGCAGCAACCTGGGAGCAAGGGGTCTCCCGGGGAGCTATGGTTAGCACTGCCCCCTGCACCTGTGCGCCAAACGCTGGCAGCCCGGCATCCGCCAGGGGCCTGCTTTTCACTTCTTTGAATCTGCCTGAGTGCAGCTCAGACGAGAATATTCAAAAGGCACAGAAGACTGGCTTCAGCTCTTCTGCTTGCAACGATGTAAGGGCATCGCAGCGACATCCTGATGTACTTCCTCGGAGGGGGGCGCCGAATGATAGCCCGTCGGAAGGTCGGGCGTGGGGGGAGCAAGCAGGCCTGTGCCTGCAGTTGTGCCAGCTGCCCACCCTCTCCTGCGAGGCACAACAGTGGGCATGGTCGTGCACATACCCAGTCCCACCAGCCACTGGAATTGTGTCCCTTCTCTACATTCTACCAGAGACACTAGCTACGCTGACTGGCTTAGGTATTTCTTTTTTTTTTTTTTTTAAGATTTTATTTATTTATTCATGAGAGACAGAGAGAGAGAGAGAGAGAGAGAGAGGCAGAGACACAGGCAGAGGGAGAAGCAGGCTCCACGCAGGGAGCCCGATGTGGGACTCGATCCCAGGCCTCCAGGATCAGGCCCTGAGCCAAAGGCAGACGCTCAACCCCTGAGCCCCCCAGGGATCCCCTGGTTTAGGTATTTCTAGTTATTAATTTCTCAGAGATGTGATAAAGTGGCCGAGTAATTGAAAGCAGGAGGCAAAAAGGAAGAGAAATTTTCTTTCTGAGTTTGGTATTGGGTCCCTTGGCATTTGCTGGGTAACAAACTGTCCCAAAGTGTGGAAGCTTAAACCTCCAACCCTGCATTTGCCCCCAGGTGGGCAATAGCAGCTGAGCCCCAGCAGGTTCACACACGCCTCCTGAGTCCGCTCTCCAGTCAGCTGTGGGCCAGCTGGCCTGACATGGCCTCGGCTGGGGTGGCTTGGCCTGCTCCCTAGCTTCTCATCATGTACCAGACTAGGCCCAAGCTTGTTCTCGCAGTGGTGGCAGCGTTCTAAGGGACAGTGGGGACGCACAGACTTCTCGAAGCCCTGGCTTGGAATTTGTGCCAAGCCCTGTTACTTGAAGCAAGGCACAAGCTAGCTCAGTTCAACAGGGGGAGAAGCTGCACAGTCTCATGCAGGGGGGTGTGGATGCAAGAAGGTAAGAACTGTGCTCCTTTCTGCAAACAACCATGACTATGCTTAGCAACTCATGAAGAAAAGAAGAAAAAAGCACCTGTAGTAGAAGGGACGAGATGCTCAAGGCCTGGACCTCACTGAAGTCACGCAGGGGCACTCGTAGGAAATAATGACTCTTAACTGGCACACACAGTGATACGACAGCTGGTCCTACACTATGATACCTGATCAGGTCACCGTCGGGGACAGCAGTCGGCTCCAGCTGCCCCGTAGAGGCCAATACACGGGAGGCCGGGGCAGGGGGGTGGTGTAGAGAGAGAAGTACTGTATTTGAAATGACATTTTCCAATGCATTCATTGCTTTGCTTCACTTTTTCCAGATCTGAGGAGAGAAGGGTCACTTTCTCCGGTGAATTCACAAAAAATCACCTTGCTGCTACAGTCCCCAGCGGTGAAGTTCATCACCAACCCTGAATTCTTCACCGTACTACACGCCAACTATGTGAGTGCTCCAGAACACACAGGGAGCCCACCTGGCTGCCATCAAAAACTCAAAACACTCCTTTGCAAAAGTTATTTGATAGATTATAGATGGTAGCATTTTAACTCAGGCAAGATTGAAAACAAAACAAAACAAAGCAAAACAGCTCAATCCACTCTTTTTACTGTCTGTGAGGCCCCCAAAAAGGGGGGAAAAAACTGGATTTGGCAAAGCTATTGCTTCTTCAGGTTTTTTTGGGCTCAAACGTATTAAGAACCGTGAAAGTCATTTAGAAACAAATCCGTGTTTCTATTATTGTTAAAATTTTAAAGGAATAAGATTATGAAGTTGACAGATTCCCTTCAGCCTGAATCATTTTTATAAAATCACCTTCGTTAAAGAAATTTTAATATAGATTTCTCTTAGATAAATATCTAGTTTTCCTTTTAATAAAATTAGTTGTTCAAGTATCATGCTTAAGTTAAATTTAATATGTTTACATATATAATTATTCATCTCTTTTTTTGTATTTTCAAGAAAGCGGTGACATGCTATCACTATATTCATTAATTCTTTCATCGGATGAACATTTTGTGTAGACAGATGCAGATCTAGGTACGGGCGTCACAGAGGCAGTGTGACACCTGAACAGCACAAGCTTCCCAATTTGAGGAGCAACAGACATGTACAGAGACCAGTCTGAAGTGATAGGACAGGGCCCAACCTCAGGGAAGAATGAAAGGCTGTGGAAACACAGGAGATGCGACATAGGAGAGCGTCCCTGAGGAGGTGGCTGCTGAACTGAGTCAGGAAGGTTGCAAGTGGTTGGGAAGAAGCCCCAGAGAGAGGGAGGAAGGACACAGCTGTGAAGGGGTCTGGGATCAGGTCTGTGAGGGTAGGACGCGGTGGGCAAAGGTGGGAAGAAGGGCTGGAGGATAAGTAACGAAACTCAGGGTAAGTCGTGGAAAGGAGCCTAGCTATACTTCAGAAGCAGCAGAACCAACAGCAGTCCTAGGCATTTGCCTCATGGGATCAGGTGTTTGATTAAACATCTTCTCCAGTAGAAGCACAGGAAGACTGAAGGGCGGTAAGGTTAGAGGCTGACCCAACCCACAGGTGAGAGATGATGGAGGCCCCCCCCTGAGGAAGGGGCCAGGCGTATGGAAAGGGGGAGCATGGTGATGGAGGAGGGCAAGAGTGAGGACTCAAGAAAGTCTGAGTCCTTTCCACTTTGGGCACCTGAGTTAGTGGGTGTCTCCATTAGCAGGTGCAATTATTTGTTTAGGCGACAGAGGTGGTGGCCGGGTGCAGGTTATATTTGACAGTCCTCTGGGACATCCATTGTTAGACCCAGAGTGGCTGCTCTGGTGCAGGGCTGAGTCACAAAGGGGGACAAGGATGCCAGATATTGTTGCCCTGAAGCACTGGGCATCAGGTAGCCCCTGGCCAGGAAGAGCCACCGCACCAGCCTGCCCGGCAGCGAGCAGTGTTTGCTTTCACCGCATGCACACCAGCCTTGTGTACTACCATAAGGTCACCATTTGGCACAATTAGAAACTCCTGAAGCATTCTCCCTTTCTTCTCATCCCCAACCCCTCCATACACAAAAGTTGGTGACACACCTCTGAAGTCTAGCCTTCGATCCCCAGGAACCCTAAATGGATCCTCCTTGTTGTAGACATAGAAGAGGAACAAGGGCAGACCGGTGCAGCCCGAGCAGGAAAAGCAGGGGAGAGACAGGAGCAATGCTCCCCGCAGTAGAGGGAGACCCAAGGGAGCCTGGCCTAGCTCTGGGAGGAGGAGGAGGAGGAGGAGGGGAACCTCTGAGATACATCCAGAGGGCGACAGTGCCCAAGGCTGCGGAAATGCCCTAGAGATCACAAATGGGTCCATGTGTGTTGACAGTGCACAATTTTTGAGCGAGATGTCCCCTTCTGAGGCTGCCCCCTCAAGGCCACGAGAAATCACTGTTAGCCATCAGGTTGCATTACATCAAGGCGCTCAAGGCGTACTTCGTCTGTGTTTTTCCTACCCGCCCCCCAACACCCTATCCCAATGGGCCCTGCCCCCCCTCCAGGGTGCCTACCGAGTCTTCACCAGTAGCACCTGCTTAAAGCACATGATCCTGAAGGTCCGGCGGGACGCCCGCAATTTCGAGCGCTACCAGCACAACCGCGACTTGGTGAACTTCATCAACATGTTTGCAGACACGAGGCTGGAATTGCCCCGGGGCTGGGAGATCAAAACGGACCAGCAGGGAAAGGTGAGTGTGACTCCTGTCATCAAAGAGCTCCGTATCAGAAAAAGACCCAGGAGGAAGTGAGGGGGGAGGACAGGAAAGGTGTGTCTCAGAGACAGGCCATCAGCCACCAGGAGGAACAGAGGGGTAACTGCGGGCAGCAGGGCTTCTGTCCTGTGTAGGCTGTGGAGTGTCATCCCTGCCCTCTTGCCCGCTGATGCCAGTAGCAGCCCCACCAACTGGTGATATTGCCACAGATGTCCCCTGGAGGGCAAAATCCTGCCCGGTTGAGAACTGCTGCCTGTGTGCTTGGAACTTGAAAGCAGAGTCTGTTCAATGACCTTTCTATTGTTATGCCTCCTTAGACAGCTGACTCTCAGGGAATGAAATTATCAGTTAAATGGGAATGACATTATTAGATTACTTGTTGTGATTTTCCTAATGAGCCTTCAGTTCTCATTAAAACCACCTGGCAAACGGGCAGGGCATATTGGACCCATGTGATATTCCTGGCTTGCGTTTTGCCTTTGTGTGACCTTAGCCAAAACTGATCTTTCCCAGTGATGCTTTAGAAGCCTAGCTGAGTTCGCTACAGCAAAACTGTTCTTTCTTAATCACCACCAGTCACATCAATGTATTTATAGGACAGGCCAAACCGTTTATTAAAGAAATGTCTCTGTGTAATCTTTTATGATCTGCAGTAAATCCCTCCCTCTTTGAGGGTCAAAGGAATCACGAGTTTTGTCAGTAGACATGTCCCCGTGGGAAACTGCATTACACAGTTCCTGTCCTCTGTCATGGTGAATGTGTGAAGCCACAGTTCCCCAGAGTGGGCTGATAGGGTGTCATTGTCCCCTGGGAACCACAAACTCCTCCCCACAAACCCCTTAGCATGTCTCAGGACCTGGACTCTCTGATGTGAAGAAAGGATGTCCACTAATGCAAGTCTGTTAGTTCAGTAAGTACGTATGACCAGCTCCTGCGCAGTTGGTTGAATTGGAAGAGGGCCTGGGGTGGGCGACATGGTTTATGTAGTAGAAAAGCCACTATAGCCAGGATATGCTCCTAAGGACCTTCTCTTTTACTGGATGTAAAAGGGAATGACAGCGACTTATGCTGTGAGTGCTTGGAGATGTGCGTCACGGTGGGAAATAGAGATGTTAAGCCAGGACAGAAAGTAAAGGAACATCTCATCAGAGCTGGGGTGCACAGGCCTCATCTCAGCAGTCTGTGGTGGCCATATTTATGTTTATTACTTAACCAAGTTGCCAAGAGTCCACCACTATGAATCAATGAACAGAAAGGGTCATTAAGGTTTATTATGCAAATAGCACACTAATGCAAACAACTTGCTTAGCCTCAGATCTTCCAAAGGTCATAACTGCACGCAGCTCTCCCACTAGGATGCAAATAGCCAGAGGCCCAGTGGAATGCCAGGAAAACCCCCACCCAAGCCATCAGCCCTGTTCCTCCAGGGCTCATCACACCAGCAAAGAAGCACAGCAGCTGAGACATGCACCAAGAATTTTAGTTATTTTGAAATGCATATAAGGGAATTTCTGGCAAAACATTTTCCCCTAATTCTGTTAGTGAGATGGTATCATATACAAGAAAGAAGTCCTAAAATGAAGAGGACTTGAGTTTTGCTTTCAGTTATAACACAAACCAGCTGTGTGACGAAATGCATACACACACACACACACACACAAAATGGTCTAATTCCTTATTAATTGAGCGCACACAGACTCAGAGTCGGCAGACAAAATCTCTAAGAAGCATACCAAGTACTGAATTGTTGAGGGAAAGTAGCCTTAAATTAGAAATGTGTTATCACAATCCATAGAGTAGAGAGGAACAGTGGAGGATGGGGGGGAAAGTAGGAGTAGGGGGACGTGTAGGAGCACCGCCCCATCCCATTCTAAACAAGTGACCTGGGGCAAGTCCCTTTACTGCTCTGAGCCCCACTTTGTTCATCATAAAGTAGCACTAATTATTATTACCTTCATGATTTTATAGCCACGTGTAGAGTAAATAAGTGAATGTGGGAATCCATGATAATACAGCAGATTAATAATATCTGGTCTGTAGGAATTATCCATACCAAAAAGAAAAAAAAAATCCCATCAGACTGGCAACTGGGGAAAATACAAAAATACTTCATTGCTAAAGCCCATTGATAATGGAGATAGGTTTAGAAAAACATTCTTGGACTCTATCCTACAGGCTCATCCCTCTGACTTGGAAAGAATGTGCTGTACAGGAGCCTGGAATTTAGGAACACCACTCACTGAAAAATCAGGTGGTGCTAGCTCTCTATGCAAAAGATATCTTCATAGATGGCCAGAGAAGGTTCCAGAATGCCACATTACCTTCTTGTTTCTTACTCTGGCCAATCTACTTCTTGTTTTATTGACACATGCAAGACGACAGCCTTCGTTTTTAGGGTATATGTGGTAGGAATAGAAGGACCAGGGCTAGCTGTTTGATGTCTTTGAATGCATGATCATCCTCACAAAACGTGGCAGGAACAGTGCCCTGAAAGTTGCACCACTTCAGGAGGACCAGAGTAAAGGGCCAAATGGCATCTGACTCATCTGTTGTCTTGAAAGTCTGAGAAAGGAGGTCACAGCCTTCTGCCAGCTTCCGTAGAGATTGACTGTGGACCGCAAGTGGATTCTAGGCCTGAGGGAGGAGGAGGCTTATCATCTGAGAGGGGGTGTGGCTGCAGGTGGTGGGGCAAGTGACATTCTGTCTGTGGCCAGCATAGGGCGGAGCCAACCTCTACTAAGGAATGAACACACAACAGCAAAATAAAAAGGAACCTGTGAAGACCTACCACTACATGAAGGAAACACAACCTTTATCTGAGAAAAAATATATATCTCATAGTATAATTTTCTTCAGAAAACAGAAAAATTTTAAAGGTGCCTGCTTATCATACCCAAAATGGTTTAGGAACATATCACTTCTATTGAACAAGAAGGAGCAGCCAGGAACAGAAAAAAAAGCTGAGAGGAAGCAGATGTAAGAAAATAGACCTGCCATATGATCTGGCAATCCCACTTCTGAATATATATCCAAAAGAATTGAAATCAAAATCTCAGAGATATCTGCATTTCTATGTTCCTTGAAGCATTATTCACAATAACCAGAATATGGAAACAACCTAAATGTCCACTGATAGATGAATGGATAAAGAAAATGTGGTATATAACAAGGGAGGTGGGGAGTGGTTAAATAAGTGATGGGGATTAAGGAGTACACTTGTCATGATGAGCACTGGGTGATGGAGGGGAGTGTCAAATCACTATATTGTCAACCTGAAACTAATATTATACTGTATGTTAATTGGAAATAAAATAAAACCTTTAAAAAGGTATGTTTGTAAACTTATGTGTAGAAGCATATGGTAATAGAGCTGCTCTTAATTTAATGAAACTACACAGTGCATAATGCATCTTTCACATAACATCTTCTTTCATTAAGACATTAGTGTTAAATAGGTGTCAATGAGGATGTGGAGAATAGGGAACCCTCTTGCACTGTTGGTGGAAATGCGAACTGGTGCAGCTACTCTGGAAAACAGTATGGAGTTTCCGCAGAAAGTTAAAAATAGAGTTACCCTACAATCCAGCTATCGCACTACTACTTACCCAAAGAAATACTAAGAAATACAAAGTCAAAGGGACACATGCACCACGATGTTTACAGCAGCAATATCTACAATAGCAAAATTATGGAAACAGCCCAAGTGAATGGATAAAGAAGAGGTGGTACATATATACAATGGAATAATTACCAGCTGTAAAATGGAATGAAATCTTGTCATTGGCAAAGATGTGGACGGAACTAGAGAGTATGCTCAGTGAAATAAGTCTGTCTGAGAAAGACAAATACCATATAATTTCACTCATATATGGAATTTTAGAAACAAACAATCATAGGGGGGGAAAGAAGAAAGACAAACCAAGAAGCAGACTCTTAACTATAAAGAACAAACTGAGGGTGACCAGAGGTGGGTGGGCAGGGGGATGAAGGAAATAGGTGATGGGGATTAAGGAGTACTCTTGGGATGAGCCCCAGGTGATGTATGGAAGTGTTGAATCAGTATATTGTACACCTGAAACTAATATTACAGTGTATCTTAACTGGAATTCAAAAACTTATAAAAAAGAAAATATGATATATACATACAGTGGAACATTATTCAACCTCAAAAATGAAGGAAATTCTGACACGCTAAGGTATGCATGAACCTGGAGGACATTATGCTTGGTGAAATTAGCCAGTCCCAGAGGGAAGACAGTGTGTAATTCCCCTGACATGAAGTATGTGAAATAGCTTCAGAGTCACAAAGCAGAATGGTGGTTGCCAGGAGCTGGGGCAAGAGGAAATGGGGAGTTTAGGTTCAGTGGGTGTTTCGGTTACACAAGATGAGTAAGCTCCAGAGACCTGCAGCATATGTTAACAATGCTGTTTCATACCAGGTGCTTAGTACTACAGTTAAAATTTTGTTAGGGAGTAAGTCTCATGTTACATGTTCTTACTACAATTAAAAAAAAAAGTGGGCTGAAAATAACGTTTTAAGATTGCAAGGAAAAACAAAATGTAATGGCATTGGAATAAAACAGAGCAGAACTGATGCTATTTAAAATCAAATCACTTCCCTAAAAACTACAGAACACTTCTGAAAGAAATTGAGGAAGACACAAAGAGATGGAAAAATATTCCATGCTCATGGATTGGAAGAGTTAATATTGTGAAAATGTCAATGTTCCCAGGGCAATTTACACGTTTAATGCAATCCCTATCAAAATACCATGGACTTTCTTCAGAGAGTTGGAACAAACCATCTTAAGATTTATGTGGAATCAGAAAAGACCCTGAATAGCCAGGGGAATATTAAAAAAGAAAAGCATAACTGGGGGCATCACGATGCCAGATTTCAGGTTGTACTATAAAGCTGTGGTCATCAAGACAGTGTGGTACTGACACAAAAACAGACACATAGATCAATGGAACAG